CCTGATCCGTCCCTCCTTGTTTGTATACTTTCTTGCGACAATAATTTTGAAATTAGGATTTGGAATATATTTTGAGAAATTTTATTCAAGCTTTGCAATTGAAAATTTGTGTACTTACTATTGTTATTATTGTTAAGCAGGCCTTTGGTAATCACGGATTACTGGCCGGTTACGATGCTAAACCCATAGGGACGGGTTTGAGTCGTGACATGTATATAGGGTGAAAAAATATTATTTATTTTCTAACCCCTTCGGTAATAAAATCCTGATCCGTCCCTCCTTGTTTGTATACTTTCTTGCGACAATAATTTTGAAATTAGGATTTGGAATATATTTTGAGAAATTTTATTCAAGCTTTGCAATTGAAAATTTGTGTACTAAGGATATTGCATTTGAATCCTATGTACGGTAGACACACTGCATATGTCCCCATTGATGAGAAAGCAGTGGTAGAGAAGAAATGACAAGGACATTTGATGTGTAATAATGACTATGAGATAGAATCAAGAAGATATGGCATTTTAATGTCAATTTTTTACACAATTATCATTAAAATGTAATGGATCCATGCTTGTTCAATGTTTGTATCATATTTATTAGGGTAAATTATACTCACCACCCTTAATGTTTACAGAAAATGCTGGTATCACCACACTTTTGATAATTTCTTGACTTCTTTGCTTAGTCAAGTTTACTTACTCCTTAGTGTAGCCTTGTTCATAGTTTAAGACTCTGTTCCTTATAGTCTAGTTTATATCCACAACTGATGTTACTTCGTACCGTAGTCTTTCCCTTTATATATAATTACACTAACTTTTCTTTTATTATAATTAAATTAAAAGCGATTGAAACTAATACCAGTCATAGGTAGATGTTGAAATAAACAAAAATAAATTAGATGATATTATCATTTTATTTATTTATTTATACGGCTAACGAGTTACAGATGAAAAATGTCTAAGCATTATTTCAATTAAAACCTTGACATCCATGTAATTAGTCAAAAATACAGAACTAATTATATTTTCTTCAAAGTTAAGGGAAGGTGAGTGTAATTTACCCTTTTCATGAGACAAAAATAATTTTATTATATTAATTTGTTGTTGGAAAAAGCGGTAAGAAAGGGGTAAGAAAGACATTTACGTAGCAAAAGACTATCTCACAAGCTATATAACAAATACTACTTAGTAATTTAAATTTACCAAACATATTAATAGTTTTTTTTATTAAAGTTATGATTTATAACCTGTTAAGTTATAATTTATAATATGTTTGAGTAATACTAGGGATTTCAAATATTCTACCAAATCTCTCACATGGGTTTAAGACCTACATAGTGTACATTTGATAGAATATTTGGTAAAATATTTAGAATTCCTATCATTTTTCAGGTTTCGTTTGAGAAGTGGATTGACTTTTTGACTTTTTAATTTTTTTGACTATTTTAGACTGAGGCTAAAAATCTTAGTTTGAGAAGAGTTTTTAGCTTTTTTAGTTTTTTTGATTTTTTTTTGTAAGAGAAAAAATGTAATAATTATGGGTTAGATGTAATATTTTATCTTATTAAGCTAAAAAGCCTTTTGATTTTTTGTGACTATTTTTGTTAAAAAATCCTCAAACTCAACTTCCCAAACATATGAATATATTTTAACAATTGCACCAACCAAACAAATTGTGTACAAGAAGTAAATACTTATCCACTTTCTCAACCAAGATTAGCAATTCTCTGTATTCAAAATTTATATATATATATATATATTTGTATTCAATACACTTTCTATCACACAACTTGATAAGAATCTCAAGTTACAGTCATGTATCTGGTAACCGGTAGTGCATTGAGCAAGGGAAACATGGATTGTGGATAAAAAGGATCCGGTGCTGTTGACCAGAGTTTTTTCACCAAATTTGAGCACTCAATCCAATAAAGTGCTAAATTCCAGACTTCCTCAAATAAGGTAGGACATTAATTGCCAATTTCGGCTGCAAATCACTGGCAAGCTCGACTCATTACATATATAAATGAACCCGAACTAAAATTTTAAGCCCGTTCACTAAAATTTTAATCACGTTCAATGTACAACTTGAACTCAAGCTAAAATAAACTCAATTTGTTTATTGTTTACATATGAATTAATGTGAAATGTATTATATATGCATATTCATTATACAAGCTAACCAAACTTGATTAGCGAGCTAAATTTTTTTTTTCCTTTTTTTGTGGCATTATCAAACTTCAAGTCGAGCTTGAGTAAAAATAGTATTAACGAGTCAAGCCGAGCTTGAGCTAGATTAATTTCCAAGCTCAATAAAATAAACAAGTCGAGCTTGAACTCTACAATACTAAGCTTGTTTGTAGCCCTATTGCCAATGCCCCCATGTTATGACCCGAGTCCGTAGATTACCAAAGGTCTCAAACGGACATACAAAATATTTATATTAATGGGGCCATAACGAAAGCATATAATGAGAAGGAGTCCATTGAGTTGTGCCGATCATGAGCAAGATCATAGAGATAATTGCATAACACATTAATACATTTAACAGCCCAACAAAAACATAGGAGGGAAAAAGGTTAAGACTCCCTTTTTCTTTGATCCCCACCACTCCTAATGTATTGGGATTGGCCGACTTTTTGCTTTTTGTTTTGTTTTATTTTTTTTTTCTCCTATCACTCATGACATGTGCTTGTGGGGTTTGTGGGAGTTAAGGGAAAAGGGAGTCTCTATCATTTCTGATATAGAAGCCAAAGGAAAAATTGTACATAGTGTTTACAACCCAAGACCATGAAAGTAAAAACAAAATAAGATCAAGGTGTGGTGTGAGTCAAGACAAAACTCCATCTTGGAGGTGGACTCGATTGGGTCTCAAAAAGAACAACTTCTGAAGCTGACTCTGGGAGTGTGCTCCATACTACGGATTACCTACATGTGCATACATAATATTGGGTGAGCGAAGCTCAATGAGTAATAATATAATAAACCACGTAATAATCATAAGATTCTCACAAAATCCACAATCATGTAAACAAAATGGCCTTAGGTCTAATCATATATCAAAACAGCCTCGGGCCCAACATATATCAAAATGGCCTCAGGCCCAATTTGCACATATCAAAACGGCCTCAGGCCCAATTTGCACATATCAAAATGACCTCGGGCCTAACATTTATCAAAACGGCATCGGGTCCAATCATATATCAAAACGGCCTTGGGGCCAACATTTATGTATGTATGGACCCAAGAGGTGACTCGTACAGACTCTAGAGGTGGCTCCCACTGTAGCACTTAGTTCCGTACGACACTTTGTTCCATACCAGAAATCAATAGGTTTTAAAGACTGAACAATTCATATCATGTCATAACATAAACAGAACGGATAAACAGAACGACCTTGGGCCCACCATATCAGATTATAAACAATGCACATTTCTTCTTCATAACTCATTTCACATTTCTTGGAAACTTGGGCATTTTGACAAAATACGATATTAGATCATGTCGTACATAAATCAAAATAGATAACAAAAAACATATCTTTACTATACTATTACTCCTAGTGGTTTCCAGAAATAGTTGACCGATCCTCAAATCATGACCTACAAACACAATGCGCATGACACAACATATCGAAACATAGAATTACTCTCTTGATCAAATTTACTTCTCTTAATCTTTTCTTAACCAAATAAATCAATCCCCTTACTTGCTCCTTAAACAATTATTTTTGTTGGTTATAAACTCATTAGTCCTCAATGGGTCATAATCCGTGTCTAGGAAAATAGGAAGAAACGGAAGGAAATTGGGTTAGGAGAGGAAATAGCATGAAACAATTAGAAAGAAAGTGAACAGCGTTCACTAATTTGAACATATCTAATTGTGTACTTAGAATATGGATGTGAGACCACACTACCGGAAACTAGACTTTTGGGGCTTGAATTTAGGCTCAAGAATCGTCTAAAACGGAGTCTGAATGAGGGAGATATGCCTTTTTGAAGTTACTAGGTATAAGCTGAAACAGGGTTAGATGCACGTGCGCCCACTTTGACCGCTTGTGCAGTGACTGGGCCGCTCGAGCGGTGGTTTAAGCAGAATGCAAACCTCTATTTTTTATCATGTTCTGCTCGTACGGAGCCCGTGGCCGCTTGTGCAATCTGGGCAAAATCAAACAATCCGAAAATGGCCAAAAATGTAACCCTTCCAAACTCCAATGAAAGCAAAACTCACTTAAAAACATGATACATAAGCATGATACAAGTGTAATTCCACATTAAACTTATCAATCTTGCATCAACATCAAACTTATCAATCTTGCATCAACATCAACTTCATGGTCTCATCTTTTCCATACAATCATGAATTTCATATACAAGCTCAAAATATATATATATCTATGAATGATCTTCCAACAAATCTTGTTTGTATGAACCATCAAGAGTTTATTTCATAGATTAATCACAAGATTGAACTCAAATCAAACAAAATGAAGAGATTTCTTGATTTTATTCCAAACCTTACACAACTCAAACCCTAGCTCAAAATTCCCAATTTATTCTTGATTTCATGCCAAAGATGAGTTAGAGACAAATATTATAAGTAGATTATCATACCTTAACTCAAGTCTAAGGTTTGCCCTTTGATTCTCTTCCAAAACCCTGGCTCTTCTTCTTCCTCTCTCTCTCTCTAACTCACTCTAACAAACTCTCCCCCAAAATGAAGAACACAAGAGGCCAAACACAATGAAGCTTAACTCACAAATTTTGATTTAATCATTACGAATCGGAATTTTACAAAATTTCAATGTAGGCTTTAAAAATCATACTAATCACAAATATGAAGTCAATTTTGGTTTATCGCGCCTCCAAGGCTATCAATTTTCCGCTTAAAGTGGTGTTTGTAACAAATATTTCTATCAAGTTCCAAAATCACAAAATTCACGTACTTAAATTTGCAAATTCATATCAAACATATAATCTCATGCATAATTAAACGTAATGCAGGTTGGCTTATCACACCCCATTTGAAAAATTAGAAATCAATTACAAGTTCATAATCCCAACACACCTAAAAAAAGGGTTAGCTAGTGCAACTACAGAGGCCATGAAGTTTTACTTTCTGTAATTGTATTCCTTTTCTATTGTATATTTCACAAAATCTAGGTTCCATCAGTTTAAAAACAAAATAGAAGCTTTATAACAAGAAAACAAAAAGATATTAAAAAAAAAATTAAACAACAAAAAGGGGAGAGAGGAAGGGTGGGGGGGGGGGGGGGAGGAAAGCTGTAGTTTTTGAAATACTAGTAAGATCTTGAGGTCAAGAAGGCAGGACCACCCAGATGCCATTTGTTGGAAATGAACGTCTGCTTGATCATTCCAAGGTAGTCCATTGAAAGAAACTTGTCCACTGTTGTGGTGGACCAGATACCAGATTACAAACAAATCCGGAGATGGGTTAATAGAGAGTATTTTATGACCTGCTGGAGCTTGGAAAGGTGTTGGGGTCTGCAGGAGGGTTGACGGCAAGATTAGCTTTCTGTTGCTGGAGGACATATATCTGTTCGAGCCCTTGCTGATGGATACTCGACAATGTGTCTAGTTCCTTCATTGACAGGTCTTCCAAGCCAACACCATACAGAGGAGCATGTTGTGACATCTCCTCTCTAAGGGAAACCTCAAGAGAATGGATATGTTTCTGCATAACACAGGCATCATTTAATCAAGGCACAATTTATTTCGATACAGAAATAATCATAATCATACGCATAACACCACGTGCATCGGTTTGTTGGTTTGCCCCTACTGAATCATGGCTCTTTGCCATAGTATACAGCAATCATGGCTCTTTGCCATACTATATTGCAAAAATGCTGTCCTAAATTGTGCTCCAGACCATGAAAAAAATTGTTTCTCATATTTTGGGGTGCAAGCACCCTATTCTCCAAAGAAGAAAGAATTATCATTTGATTTCAGTTATAGATGATTAATTATCCAATGGGTAGTTTCCACCATTTTGAGGATCACTTGGAGTTACTTTGAACAACAATTAAATTTACAGATTGGAAGAAAAGAATTTATATTCAACTTCTGAGTATAAATGAAGAACTAGAAAATCTATAGTTTCTACCATTTGGTGATGACTTAGAAGTTCCTCTGAAGATCAAATATATGTACACATTGGAAAACAACTCGTACAAGAGTACGCCATGTGAATTGCAAACAAAGATAGTTCATGGTCCTGGGGCATGCTCGCAACTATGTGCATGATGTAAGAAAACCAAATACATGTTAAGAGAAGATCCAACAATTTTTATTATATTCTCCACTTACACATTAAGGAAGAGGTCATGTCACATTCCATGTGTGTTGCAAGCAAACCAAGGCCTCAACTCTCAATGGCTTTAGATCTCCAAAACAGGTTATTATGGCAAAAAAAGGGATGAGGGAGAAGAACCCCAAGGCATGATGTTAGTCACATTGAAAAGTTCTTTAGAAGTGCTGTTATGTAATTATAGCATTATAAGACGGACACAAATCACATAGTTTTGTGATGCTGCAACTTTTTCAATATGAAAAATGAAGGGTTTTGATTTTTGAGAGATATCTCAGCAGGATTTGGATTGAATAAAGAGGCAACAAAACTGTATCTTGTGGTACGTTGCATGAACCTTTTTCTGTTCATTTTTCACTAGAAAAATTCAGATGAAAAAGAATAAAAAGAAAAGAAAAGAAAAGAAAAGAAGATAAGGACAAGATAAGATATGGAAGAATCTATGGCACCAAAGTCATTCATGCTATCAGAAAAGCAGAAGCAAATATGAACCGCCCAAAAAGAACAAAAAAAGTGGCATTGTTCCAACTTCCAGTAAACAGCTGCTTTACAACTTAAATAAATGTAAACCGTCTCATCCCTACTGAAGAACTATCTGAATGGTTGTCCCATTGTTAAAGAGGAAGAATTCATTGGCCAGCTTGTCTGTTGCATATAGTGGCACGGTGGCACCACATTGTACTAAGCCTTAAGCCTTAAGCTATAACGTTCCATGGGCCATATGCCTAATTTACTATATGATTAGGGCAATTTCTAGTGCTTTTACCCCTCGGGATCCAATTTTCTAGAGAAAATTTTCTGCAGGTCTTTCCTAGAATCTCCTCTATCATAAGGAACATGAGGATGTTTTCAGCATGTTGGCAATTAAAAGACGTCAACCCTGTTTTTTTATATGTACATTGCTTTTATTTCGGTAAAGTGATATAATTTTACCAGCAGGAAAAGGAAAAGATAGAATAATGATTACACAAAAAGGGGAGCTTGTTCAATTGTGGACCGCAACCAGCAGCAGCTTCAATTAACCCGTAAAAGTATTGATGAAATTGAGAGAAGATACCAACCTGCCAGGCACCAAGTTTTTCTTCCATCCCACCGATGTACATTTCACATTGTTTAATCTTTTCTTCCTTGTCCAGCTTCTCTTGTTCAAGTTGCCCAACTGTTGCTTTCAATTGCCTGACCTCATCCTCAAGTGAATGTTTATTGTCCTGTAGAATCCGATTATCTCTATAATAGTGTTTCAATATCTCATCAGATTTCTTCCTTGCAGCCTCTGCAATCTTCAGCCTTTCAGCAAGAGAATTCTTCTCTTTTACAAGTATCTGTGTTCAAACATAGAAATCTTAAGAAATATATTAAACCCGTTAAACTAACTCCTGTTCAGTGAAATTGTGAAATCACAAAGTTGGGTACAGCAATTGCATACATGATATCAAAAATGAAAACTATAGATGGCTCCAAAATAATAAACCCAAGACACATGTGCCTCGCTTCATAGAATTAAGAATATGAAACTTTCTTCATAATATCGAGGATTTTTGTGCATGCTTTAGTGACTGTTTACATATCAAATATGACAGACTATGATCCCTAGAGGCATATATAATATGTGTAATCAATTTTCGAAGTAACCATCTTAAAAGATATGTAACCAAAGAATAGGGGGGAAGAAAAGATTCCCTTCATATGTGTTCCAGGCCAAAATAATAGCTCACAAGAGCACATTTTAGATAGCACTCTGAAGTTATGAACATGAAGCCATACTATACCTTCAAATCATTACTACTCCGGGACTTCAGTTGAGAAAGTTGTGTCTCCAAATTATGAAGACGATCCTTGTACACTTTATTCTCTTTGGATAGCTTCATAATCTCATTGTTCTGCTCCGATTGAAACCATTCAAACTGACTCTCCATTTCTTGCATTCGTTTAGAGATTTCCTTCTTTTGCGTAGCAAAACGATCTATCTCAAGCTTCAATTCAGACTGCCAATTTCATGGAAAAACTCAAAATCAGAACATCTGATGGCATTTCATGAGCCAAAATCAGTAGTGAGAAGTGATTGTGTACCTTATAATTGTTGGTAGTGGTCTCAGATTCACATAACCTTTCCAACAAAATAGCCTTTTCTCTAACCATATCGGCATGTTCAGCATGTCTTTCTTCTTGTATACGCAAATTGTGGTCCTCACTAGCAGACAACTGATGCCTAAGAGTTGCACAATCAGCATTGGCAGCCTTGGCGACCTCCCTCATCATGTTTAGAATTGCTCCAGCTAGAACCTGTTCCTTGTTAACCAAGAAAAGCAAAGTATTGAAATCTTTATCTGCTTGATGACCATTTTCTATGAGGTTTATGGCACGATCAACTAGCCCTTTAAGCATTCTCTTGTAATTACTCTCATCGGCAAACAATCTAAACAACGTAGCATAAAGCATCTGTGCAAATTGTTGCACTCTGGAGTGATTAGAGAGAGAGAATCTTTCAGCAAGACCAAGAAGTAAGGCAAAGTCGTCTTCTTCAACAGGAAATGGCTCAATTTTTCCACCCGGTACTTCATCTGTTTGCTGGTTTTTTCCAGCAGAAGACATTGGACCAATATTTAATCTTAGAGAATGGCGTCTTTCGAAGACCTTGGCCACCAATTGAACCACAATTGATCCTTGAGCAACAGCTCTCTCAAAAGTTTGGAAAGCTTCATTAGTGAGGGAAGGTACTGATAACATCTCTATCAAGATATAGATGTCAGAAAAATGACGACCTTCATCAAGAACCTGATCATCCATCATATTCAACCTTCTTGTCAAAAGTTTATCTTCTCCACACAAGAAGGGCTCACCAGAGCTTGCTAAAAATTTGTCATCAAGTTCAAAACCAAAATCAATATCTCTCAACAAAGCCATGGCAATATCACTGCAACTACGTACAGTTTCGCTTAAGAAAATCAACACACAGGGTGATACCTCGACCCCCATGCTACACAGCCTTGCATGAACTACTATGGCCTACAAAAGAAAGAAAACAGGACTTTTATACAAAAGGAAGCAATCAACTCAAACAGATTACTCACAAAATAATGCAACTTTTAACTTAGTTGTTGCTGGTGCGCACAGCTTCAGAAATATGCTGACAATGAGATGCAGCCTTGAATAAAAAGCCAATGATAGTTGCAAGTGCTCCATCATTGAACTTTTCCACCACTTTGGAAGTAACGAAAAAGACAAGTTCCCACACCTCACTGCTGAACTCCAATTGACTAATGGCATCAAAGACCTGAGGGAAAAAAAAAAAAAATTAATAATAATAATAAAAGAAGGTTCATACAGAACAATGACACCATAGATTAGTGCTTAAAATGGTATGACTTCTTTAAGTTTTCTATTACTTTGTTTTCTCTTCTCAGACACAGAGGTATTCTCCACATGGGAAAAACTTGCTTTTGTTGCATTGTTCCTCCATCTTAGACAATCACAGAGAATAAAGGAATCAAACTCTAGGTTAATCCTGTATAACTCAAATTCTAAAAGCACAAAAAAAGAATCTCCAGGCATTGAATTGGAGGTTGTCTATAGCTTTTCATGCAATCCGTCTTTTGTCAAGCCCCCCATAAAATGTCCTCATGCTTTTTGCATTCGCCTATCAATTAGAAGAGAGATTGAAAATTGCCCCATCCACACTAATATCATGTCATGTGAAAGTTTTTTAATTGTACATATTCATTAAAGGAATCCGATGTCATGGACTCGTGGCTACCAATCTCTGATATACTTGCAGTACGCATGCATGAGCAGAGCATCGTCGGGAGGTATCTAATGCAGCAGTGGGCTTGGCATAATATTTGGCCCACTACAAGTTAACAAGAAGTTTAAAAAACAGTTCTTACATCTAAGTTGATCATTGTTACATGTTTTCGAGGAATGATTTGGCTGCTTCGGAAACATTCAATTAAAAAAAAAAGCTGTAGTTTGGCTCTTACGCACATGTAGGAAAAGCAAGTCAAAGGACTACCATATGATGGCATTGGTATAAAAGAGCACTCTCAAAAGCCCATATGTCATGTGCAATCTGATGGAAATTTCATCATAACATTCTTTTGTCACAGTATAGGCTTTTGATGTTTCCAGGAAGTAGTGCAAAGAGATTTCATTTCCTAGACAGTAGCAAACAGCATCACTAGAATTCCCATTGCAAAATGGTTAACTATTTTTTTTCTTAAATTGCAGATAATGGTTCACTGATATTCAACGTTCATAACAAATTTATTATCTATAAATTAAACAAAAGAAAGATATATCTTACTCGTGCTTGGATTTCAGGGTCGGCATCTGGTTTAGTTAGTTGATCTAGAAGCACAGATGCAGCAAGTGGATTATCTGAATGATCAACGAGCTGGGCACCAAAGTGACTAGGTCTGGCTGCAGGTGTTTTGGAGCTCTGTCCAGTGCACGAGAAATCTTATGTACAGATACAAGCCATTGATTTGGCCTTAAACCACCTTTTGGAATAGTACCATCAAGAGCCTTCAGAGAATTGATTATCATATCTAAGATTTCATCTGCCTGCTCAGGCCACTTGATCTGAATATAGATCAACAAATTAATACTTGAAGTCAAGAATTCAAATAGCCAAATACAATTATCTATAAAAACTTAAATAAACAAACCTTTAGATCTTGAATAGAATTGATCTTCAGAAGGGCTATAGCAGATAGTTCTGAAGGAGGTTGTGCAAGAATAGCTTTTTCGGGTATATCGGTTATCTCCTCCTCCAAGCCCTCAACTGCACACATGCTGCTACTTCCATCCACCCAAGAGGCCAAGGTCTCATATTTGGCGGATTGACCAGAATCTTCTGGTCCACTTTGCCTTAGAAATTGTCCTTCACTGGCATCTCCATTGGCATGCCCAGAAGGTTTTAAACTTGAATCATAACAATCCACACTAGATCTGGTTTCTGAGTGTTGGCAACTTTCAACCATTATGTCTAGAAGTAGATCAATAATTGCCTGTTGGGAGATCTTAACCACAGTCCACAAATTCATTAGGAATGGTGGAGATTCAGCATGTCTATTAACATCACAACAAACCAAGTTCTTCACTGCACTAAGCAAATCTTTTGCTTTAACAGGTTCACCCACTAAACCTAACCCACTACACCACTACCACCTCCACTTTACCTACTCCATCTACCACCTACTACCACCTCCTCTTCTATATATAGGAATCATTGTAACATTCAAAATATATCAATATAAATCAATCAATAATACAATTCTCTATTTCTCTTTATACATTAAATTTCTACAAAAGAATATGTTTGAGATGACAATGGTGCTTTTCTTTTATTTATCTCTATCTTTTTAACAAATATCTACTTCTCTGGCCTGGCTTGAAGTATCTAGTGTTATTGATTTAGACCTGCTTACACTTGTTCAAGTTTCAAGTTCATTTTTGTTTTTATTTTTATTTTTTAGTTGAATAGCAACAAAATGGATTATATCAATCAAGTAAAGAGAAGTGAGGACAAGGAGTCCTCTTACAATGTAAAAGGAAAGAAAATCACTATCAAACATGTCAAAGAAAGAAAACTAAGACTGACAAACTGCTCCCCATTCTTCAGAAATCACAAAAATGGGGACCCCTATAATGGACGAGAAACATTTTCCCAAAAAGAAGCCAAATGATACGCTTTCTCCCGTAATGAATCCACTTCCGCCACCCCGTCTTCGAATATCCACAAATTTCTTTCTAACCAAATAATCCAAAAGATAGCATAGACAACACAATGCCACGAAGTTTTGGCTTTCTTGTTGCCACCAAAGCCCCGAAAATCAGCTAACAGCATATGCGTACATGCATCCGAAGCCATCCATAGTGAGCCACTCAGACAAAAAAGACGATGCCATAAATTCAAAGCCACTGGGCAATGTAGAAATAAATGATTCATCGATTCCTCATATCTCCTATACATGATGCACCATTGAGGACAAAGAAAGTAATTGGGTCTCCTATTTTGAAAATTACCATTGGTCATAATAATGCTTCCGCGAATGAAAGACCACATAAAAAGGTTCACTTTAAAAGGTACAAATGCTATCCAAATTGTTTTGTGGAATGGAAACAAAGGAACTCCATACTTATCAATGAGTTTAACATAAAAAGATTTGCACGAGAAAACACCAGAAGAATGAATGCTCCACACCCTTATATCACAAATGGAATAAGACAATGAAAGACCTTCCAACAAGGACAACAAAGATGCCAGTTCAGTAGATTCCCTATTCTTATGAAATTGAAATTCCATATATTTGTGCCAAATTAGTACATACCAAAAGCGACGGAAACATTATGAGAATGAGCAACTCTATATAAGAGTGGAAAAGCCCCTATCAATAGGAAGTTCACCCACCCAAATGCCCTCCCAAAAATGAATTGATTCCCCATTTCCTACTTTCAAAGAAAGAAACCTGGACATGAGTGGGAGGATACAAGAAATGGATTTCCATGGAGATCGACAAATACCCCTATTAACCACATTGGTATGGCTACTATTGATTTGAACTCCTTGCTTTTAATGATGGAATGCCATAAGGACTCACATTTGATGGGGAATCTCCATAACCACTTCATTAAAGGAGCAATGTTCCAAGCCACAATGTGATGTAGGACGATTAGGGACGGGCTGTAAGGACTGTAAAATTGACTTTCTGTGTGTTTTTATGGTTGCTTAAAGCTGAAAATCAGTAGGAATTTTAGGATTTCAATTAATGAATGGAATGAACTAAGTTTAGGATTACTAAACCGCATGAAAGAGATCAAAACAGGGGCACTTTAGGAGCTGTGAACAGTAAACTAAAACAGAAAAGAGAAGAAGATAGGTCTAGGCATCGCACCTAAATTCCATAGGCATCACATCTAGGGTTAGAGGCAAACTAGAAGCGATCAAAGTTTTAGAGGCAAACTCACAGACAAACATCGAGATGATTTTCTACACATGATCATGGAAAGAGTTGATGCATTGGAAGCAAAAATATTTGAGATTGAAGCCTCCAGTCCTCAGAAAAGTAAACGTGCTGCGAATGGTTCTGAATCTCCTTCAACCAGTAAGCCAAAACCACTTGGAAAGGGTGTTGTGAAAGAAATTGATAGAGAAGATTCTGCTACTTTTCCACAGGATATCGCTAACCCTAATGCATTACGTCCCTTAGAGAGGCTACACACTTCTCTTTTGGATATAGCCAATGAAGTTGTTGTGTTTGGAAGATATGAGAAGCAAGATCCATATGACACAGCTGGAGATATAACAAAGAAAGTGCGTGTTGATGTTCCGGATTTTGATGGTAGAATTGACCCTCAAGTTTTTTTGGATTGGCTTATTGCATTGAAAAGGTACTTTGATTGGTTCGATATATCAGATGATCAGAAAGTTTGATTTGCCGTAATGAAGCTTATAGGTCAAGCCCAAATTTGGTGGTCTGCGATGGAACATGAACTCCGGATTGCAGGACAACCCATTGTTAATTGTGGGGAGATGGAACAACAAATGAAACAAAAGTACTTACCATATGACTATAAAGATGAACTCTTTGATCGGCTTACTAATCTCAGACAAGGAAACTTGATAGTGGTCGAGTACATGAATAAATTTGAGGAGCTAAAGATTCAATGTAGGGGTGTTGAAGATCGACGTCAAACTCTTTCTCGATTCAAATCAGGTTTAAGAGATGAAATTCGCAAGGCCATGGTGACTCATCGAGTCTTTACTGTTGATGAGGAATTTCAATTGGCACTTAAAATTGAGAAGAAGATAGATCTAGATATCTCACCTAGATTCCATAGATATCACACCCAGGGTTAGATTGCATCACACAATCCATAAGAACTTTTAAAAGTTTTGAAAATTCTCTAAAATATCAATTCTATTGAATTATAGGCATTACATGGCTTTATGTAGAACTAAGAGACTTCTTAAATCAACTAAAACCAAAAAAGGAAACTATTATAATATTCCAAAACCAATTTAAGCCAAATAAGAAAGATAAATAAAACTTAAATAACTTGACTCACAAGACAACCTATGGTCGACCCACACAACCCATATTAGGGAATTTCGCAAATGACCAAAATACTCCTAATCCAAAAATCCTAAAAAACATAAAAAATAATCATAAAATAAGACTCTAATAATATATAAGCATAATTATATAAGATTCCAATCAATTTCTCATTGAAATCATGCCAATGTCCAAATATCATCATTTTTCTGAAATTAGCCTTCGTTGAGCTTCTTATACTCTGCATCACAATGTTTCTTATGGCAAGGTCCCCTTTCCTTCTAGGAAGGGAAACTATTTTCTCACCCAATTCACTAAGTGATGCTTCTTCCACTCATTCCTACCTTCCCAAAGAAAATCCCTCATTAACTTTTCAATTTTCTTAGTAATCCTTACCATAACCTTGAACAAAGACAAGAAATAAATGGAGATACGACTCAATGCAAACTCGACCAAAGCCAATCTCCCCCCTCTAGATAATAAGGCTCTCTTATTTTTTACCAACCTTCTCAAGAACCGGACCCAGAAAGACTCCAATATAGGATCTCCCCCCCAACGGCAATCCCATATACTTTCTCAATGGGGCAGCCCAAAATTTCTTCCATCCTCTGCACTTGATCTTGTCACAAATTAATACCCACCACACCACTTTTATAAATATTCACCTTAAGCCTAAACACAATTTCAAAACTCCTCAGAATTGCTAAAAGATTAAAATTCTCAATTTCCTCCCTAGACAAGAAAAAGATAGCGTCATCCTCAAACTGTTAATGAGAAACACAAATCTTATCCCTCCCGAATACAAAACCCTCAACTACACCCTTCTCCCTAGAATTAATCATTCTCCCCATTACATCAACCACCAAAATTTAAAGTTTTCTACTATGGACAAGCTCTTTGAAAACTTAAAAGTTGTAAATTAAATATTAAAACCAAAATGGTTAGTTAAGACGTTATTTCTTTGTTATAATCTCTTTTGTTCTCTTTCTCTTCTCTCTTCCACTCTAACCCTAACCCTAGTTTTTACATACTCTACATTCTAACTTCAAGTTTACCTAAGCAATAGACCTATGATCCTCCGTGTTTAAAGCATGTACGAATCTAGAAAATTTTTAAAAATAGTAAATCACGTTTGGATGTGTGTCCAATAGGTGGCGGGAAATGTCCAAAGAGTGGCATGTCCATGTCTAACACAACACACCACCTTCTTAACAGTGTCCATACTTCTTAGATCTATATAACCCGTTGAAACCACTCAAATTTGTTTCTATTGTGCACGCGTTTTAGTATTGGATTTCTCCATATTATCCATAGACATGTATGTCATTTCCCAAAAAATGTAGTAGCTCTTGTTGACACAAGGAGTAGGATTAATTAAGTTCAGATAAAGTCCTAGAGAACTTTAGGTGGACCAAATAAATAATAATTAAACTAAAAATAGCACGTGGTGGATGGTATAGTATGTGCAACATCTTGACAATCATCTTTTCTAGAGCCATTTATCAAGATATCAGCTTTGCCTCATAGAAGGTATGCCAAGTTAGAATGGAGCTCTACTACATATTTGGAGTAAAAGGACGACCCTTTTAAAAATGCAAAACTAACTAGGCCTAAGATCAAATGAAAAGAAAATTATGTACACATAAAAGAAAAAAGTATGTACACAAAAGAAAAAAGTAGCCGTCATGTACATATCATAGGAAACAAAAGATAAATATTGGAAATCATATAGAAATTTCTAAACTTTTTAGTTCATCTAATTTTGACAAGTATGCAATCTTCAAGAATGCAGTAATAAAAAGGTAGAGGTGAGACATCTCATAAGACCAAGATGAAACACAGAGACAATATAAGCACCCCTTTTAATATAAGGAAATACACAAAAGAAATATTGTGTTCGCTTCCAAACATATGGCATTTCTTTCTATTGTTTTAGCTTTGTACATTATGCAACTTGCTTTTTTCATTCAAAAGATCCAATTGAAGTTTTAAAGAGAAATTCATTTGTCGTGGAATAGTATTTACAATTGGAGAATTTGGTCAAAACTCCCTCATAACAAAACTTTCATATATTAGGGACAAGCACATAAATTTTGCCTTGAAAATGACAACACACATGACTATTACCAAAATATCCTTAGTAACTAATTTCATATTTCCAACTTTAAAATAATAGAACTTTTGATCTTAATGTTGGTTTTTAATAAAAATATGTTTTTTAGAAGCCTCTCGTTCTATCAAACAAGATCTATGTTACTCATGAAATTCTTTTTATAAAAAAAAAAAAAAGTAATTTTTTTACTGTCGAAACTAACGTCAACAGTAAAATTTTACTTGATTTCATAGTGAAAATTTACTCTGATTCATAGTAAATTTAAAGGTGAAATTTTAGCATTTAAAATAGTGAAATACCATCATTATCACTAAATACCATAATCACTATATTTATTATTGCCCCAAGTGGAAATATTAAATAAAAAATCTATTAAAATATTGAAATGATAATACAAACATAGTAAAATTTTATTCTTAATTTAAAACAAAGTATCAACAAACAAAAGACAAATTACATATTATCATAGCAAACCGAAGTAAAATTTTACTGTCACTTTCAAACAGAGCATCAGCAAACAAAACATAAATCACATATTACAAGTGTAAACACCAAAGTAAAGTTAATCTAACAACAAACAAAAAACACCATTATTCAATCAGATTCAATAAAAAACAATCATAACAAATGAAATACATATAGTTCAATCTTCATTCTCACTTGAAAAAACATTCAATAATTATTCACTCTTTCATCCAAACAAACGAAACACACTTCCCTTCTACGGCTCAATCGCAAGCTTCAATCCAAACAGTCATCGAAATATAGCAAACAAGGTTCGAAATACAGTAATCATTGAAATTCTACGACTCAATTGTGTAACCATCTCTTGCAATCTTGTAGATATTTTCTACTTAGAACGTTGAAGACAATATATATAAATATTAGGGGTGTCACCAGTCGGTTCGGATCAGTTCTGCTATTAATCCGTCACCCAAACCGATCATTACAGGTAGAAGAATTGCACATCCAATTTCGACCAATAGGAAGTTCAAAATTGCATTCATCAGGCCTCATGGTTTGCCTGTCGGATTCGGTCAAGTTCTTGATTCCCATCAGCAGCTCATTTTCGTATATCTCACACAAACACATATACAAACAGATTTGAGAGAGATGAAGAAACTGAGAAGACTATTGTGGTGTGGTGTTGACATGCATAACTATTGGATCTAACCCAAAAGCATCAATGTAGAGAGATCTAGACGGGGCTTGTTGATAACCGAATAGATGTAGATGCAATAAACCATAAGGATTGAAGAGGGGTTGAGGGAGAGAGAGGGTTTGGCAAAAGGAGAGAGGAACTTCAAAGTTCCACCAAAAGAAAAGAAGAGTTAGCATACATAAACCTCTGTATATTAGTATATATATAACCCAAACATCATGTATATCATAACATATGTCAAGTATGTATGATGATATATTTATAATCATGTAACATATTATATTATGTGTATGTAAACGTACTTATTAATCACATGTATCAATGCATAGAAAATATCAAATCTAAATGATTGTGTATTATAGGGTAGGGTTACTTTAAGGAGTCAAATGTACTTTAAAACTTTTTAGAATTGTAATTTTATGTATTTTTATTTGTAATGTTCAGGTTTTGAATGGAGGTGGACGATATAAAAACTAGTGTTGTTGAAGGTATTTCAACAAGTGATTTCAATTGTATTGAACTTGCGTTGCCTAATTTATTTTCTCAATTGAGGTTAAGATACAAACAAAAGAGTATTAAGGTTGATAAAATATTCCCCCCTTTGCGCACCCAATGCCAATAGGTTGGTCAGAGTAAATGTTTATGATTGGAGGTTAGATGGTAATGACAGTCCGCAGGCATGGTTTCTTTTCCCTGAGGATTGTCAGTGCGAGTTAGTCTATTATGAGAATGGTTATTGTTCAATTAACGACAACTAGGTGCCGTGGATGGTGAAGTATCGACTTGAAATTCAAATATTAAAAGGGGGATTACGTATTGTAAAATGAAGGGATATCTGAAGTATTCTACAAGTGACATGCTAGAAGATTCACAAATGAAGGCCCCATCTATTGTTGTGTTACCTAAAAAATATACTAATGAAAATGTTGATGTTTGGAATTGTCCTCCAATGAAAGTCATTCCAATTCTGACACGGACTAAGTTTGTGGGTTTACCGGAAAGGCGAAGAGATTTGTTGTTAGGAGGTTTTGGGAGAAGTAGTTCAGTTATTCATGAACGCAAAGGTCGTTTGAATTTGTCTGAGATTGATGTACGCAGAAGTGGTGATGGAACTAGTGATATTGATCCTGGTCCATCGATTTCGGAGGTTGGTGTTAGCAAAGAAAAAGTTGATCGTAGAGAATCAGTTGTTATGAATCCAACAGAATTTTCTGATGTTTTACGAAATGTAATAATGAGTGTAAAAAATAGGAGTGTAAAAAATAGTGGTGTAAAAAATAGTGATGTAATAGTTGATGATAAGGGAAATATAGTAAGTAAATAAAAGTTTGAGTGGTTTCATAAATAAAATTAATAAAAATTTTCATTAATCATGACGGTGGTTACATTAACATCAAATCATTCTCTCATTTTTTGGGACATTGCATCTAACCAACTACTGTCCCCATTAGTTAATATAATACATGGAATTCCCCCTCTAATAGTGAGATCTGGATGAAATTTAACAAATACATGGAAGTCTTTCTGGCAACCTACTAAATTCTTTATAAATTCAGTAGGGACTGTCGAGTATTTGATGTCATCTATGACGTTGTAGACAGCATCTTGATTGTAGTCCTTGAAGCTTATTCTGCTAGAGAAGTAATTGCCTCGTCCGAGGCTTTTGGTCCAGGTGGTTTTTCTTGTTCTTGAGGGTCCTTTAAGGTAGAGAGAGATTGGGCAGATGGGCCGCTGTTCTAGTTCCTGTTATCAGAGGAGGAGGAGAGTTCTTCGTCAATATATAAATTGGTGATATTATTTTTGTGTATCCCTAATCTAATCCAGTCGTCTTCCCTCCAAACGGAGAGATAGCAATTTTGACATAAATCGTATTGTACAAAATTTCGACTTACAAACAAAATATTATTTTCTGCCTATTTTTTTACTTCTTCATTTAAGAAAGGAAATGAATTAAAGGGGCTAGTATATGGGGGGCTCTCTCTTTTGTAATGATCCCTCGAAAATATTTTTAATTAGGGGTATTTTGTGACATAATCGGTGGGACATCTTTCTTTGCAGAGTGCAAAGAATTGTTCCTCCGTTTCTCCTTCTACAATTATTCCCCTCCAGAATTCGTCTCTGTTCTTCGAAGGACTTTTCCCCTTAGATGAAAATTCTCTCTATTCGACAAACTCACCCCCTTTCTGTATATACTGTCGACTTGCTGTTGGCAAGTGGAGTTCTTCTACATTTGGATGATAGATTCTGCCATTGGTTCCAGTGAGATCGAAAAATTTCGGGTTGGAGGTTTGGATCTTCTTCGTGCATTGAACCATGGCATGAAGGTGAGGGTTTCCATCTTCGTGGAGCTCCTTTGCGACAAGTATGTAGTATGACTGATAGGCTAGTTGGAGAAGGGAATGGAGGAGTTCTAAGAGTTGTTCTTTTGGGCATGGGCATTGTGGGTAGGTGAGGAAAACATTCTTGGCATAAAAACGGAAAGAGACTTGGCGAGACATTTTGTAATGGTAAATTGTAAACTCACACCAGCCGTACAAGGCCTCCCTATCAGTTAAAAAACTTGGTGTGAATGGTGTGACTGGGGGGGCGCTATATTAATATTACTAGCACCCCCCCCTCCCGCTGATCTGGGCCGTCCATTGTTGTACTTATGGACACGTGTATGGATGTGGTTAAAATGAAGTTACACCCGGGCCCAGGTGTGAGTGGTGTGAGTACTTTTGATTCTTTTGCCAAATAGTGCTATACACGTGTCACTTTTCTAGTGGTTTGCGTGGTTGTAAAGTAAATATTCTTACAGAATGATAGACATAAAGCAAAGGCGGGAAAATAAATGTGTTTGAATTATTTTGAATGGAGTATCTTCGTCCTTATACGCGAGCCACTTTGGCTATTTATTTGGTACCAAAAAATATTTTATGGCAGAGAGGAATATGCTTTTACAGGTGGAATAGCTATTGTGGTGAAGTTGTTTGAAGCATTTATTGGAGTGTTTACTTGCATTTGAAATCTGAAACAAAAGGGTAAATAAAAGTCTAACAATTTTTTTGAGCCTTGTGCTACCTTCTTTGTGATTGGTACAGACTCAGAGTTTTAATGCTATCATTACACAAACCGCCAAGAGTTTTAATTGCTATTTGACTATTATTTCGGACGGTTTGGGTATATTCAATTTCCAAAGGATTAGAACCGTCCACCAATCGTAACATTGATGAATCTTGTCTACGGAATCCAAGCCGACCGTGGAGTGTTTTTGAAACCAACCACAACCATTCAGTTCGATTCTAATTTGTCAGTTTCATCAGGTGATTCGGTTTTTTGAACACCCCTAATAAAAATATATATGGAGAGAGAGAGAGAGAGAGAAAGAGAGAGATAGTTTATCACGTTGATGGTTGAAATGGCAAAAGAAGTAATGAAAGATAAAAAGGGCAAAATCATCTCAAATAAATAAAAAAAAAGAAAATATGTTTTTTCTGTCTTTAATCCATGATAAATAAATTTTAAAAGACTTTATACATTAAAAAAAATTCACTTGTCCTTTTAACACTACACAATTATGTCAAAGGACTTTTGACTAAATATTCCTTTACAATCAACCTTCAGTTCAGTCCACTTCAGGCAACAACACATTGTGGTGGCTTTCACAAGTCATTCTTCTATATAAAATCTGCATTGTCATCTGCAAGTCATATGTCAATTTTCCATCCATTTATGTAATGGATCCTTATTGAAAGGTTCACATTGGTACAAATTGATAGTTTAAGGTGGCAAAGTGTAGCACTTTCTAGTTGAGAGGTGAAAAATGATACTGAGTGACGGTTGGGTTAAAATGTAATTTACCCTTAATTAACGAACTTGTATAGACATTTGCATACGCTTTAGTTTTTGTTTCCAAACATTTCTGTACATATCTAAAAAAATTATTCAGTGTGTTTGGTTTAAGTTTTTTGAATTAAGTTTTTTAAAAACTGACTTTTTTGATTTTCATGTTTTTTTGTTCTTAGTGAATATTTTTTAAATTTTAAACATTTTTTTTACTTTTTTAGATGTACATTACTCAAATGTATCTAAAAAGTAAAAAAATTGTGAAAAAATATTTTAAAAAATTAATAAATAAATAAAAATACAAAAAATGTACTGAATTCTTGTATTTTTTTTTGTATTTTTGGTATTTAGTGAATTTTTAAAAGATTTTTTTTACATTTTTTTTACTTTTTAGGTGTATTTATGTTAGGTGTGTCTAAAAAGTAAAAAAATTGCTTAAAATATTAAAAAAATTCAGTAAAAACAAAAAAACACGGAAAATAAAAAAGTAAAATTTTCTGAAAAGTATTTTTTGAAAAGTGGAAACAAGCAAGATGATTGTTTTCCTTAAGTTTCCAAAATGCTTTCATTTCTAAGCTATCCAAAACACCCTAAATAAATGAAATTTTGATGCTTCAGTAGATGGCAAAGCAAGACAGAGTTTACAGTGTGACTTTATAACTCAATACAAATGATGCATGGCATTGGGTTTTGTCAATGAATTGTCATAAATAGCATGCACAGAAGACCAATTACTGATAAATTTCAAATGCGTGAAATATTCAAAGACATAGCAAACATCAAGCATACTAACCCCTGGTTCTGAAAACTCAAGCGACGGGCAATGATCGAGAATCTGACACAAGATAGCAACTGATTCATGAGCAAGATATCCAGCATCTGCGTCCACCATGTCTGAAACTTTCATGAACTGGATAACAGAATTATTATTTGACTTTGTACAGAAAGTAGTCTCCTTCCACATACTTTTGGCATGGTTCTTTTGATTTGCCAAAGACATCTTGTAACTAACCAAAAAGTTCTTATCAGAGTCACTTGTGACTGATGGATTACACTCCAGAAATGCACATATGCTGTCTAATGACTTGCAGACCCCTGCATTATTATCACGCAACAAGAAAAAAAAGAAAAAAAGAAGGGGCCCATAGTGAGAAAACCATCAAATAAATGAGAAAGTCAAAAACAACTTAAATAATCTAACCACCCATTAACTCACCAATCTGAAGCTGAAATCCACCTACTTCAAAAGCTGGACTAACTATTTTCCTGGTTTCTAATATGTCAATGAAAGACATGAAGTTATGCATCATCCATAGGACTAACTCGCCTTCCCCTGATAGATGATCAACTGGAAAACCAGCATTCCTCAACTCTGTGTTACCCTTTAAAAATGTCTCCTTTAAAAGAAGAACCTCTGCACAAAAGTGAATTGCATCGCCAACAACAAACCCGGAGTCTTGATCAAAGAGACTATTCAGAGTCAAAAATTCACACCAGCCCAATTCTTTTGTAGCATTGGAGAAACGGTCCAGTGAGTCCTTACTAACAGATTTATCCATGCTCCTCTGGTTCTTGACAGACAACCGATAAGATACGAAACAACTCCAGTCAGGGGAACTATTCTGGTTATCAACTTGGAGATAAAATGAAAAGTGACTTGGCGGTTGAGATAACCCTGGTGTGCAATCAAGCATAAGCATGAAATCCCATCAGTTCTCTTGCAGTTTAAAAGTCTTAAATATTAAAACACACCACAGGTTCCGATTAAAACCAGTATCAAACAATAGTGTTGACTCTGACAAAACACTCTAATCATTCAGATAACTGATGATATATATGCGATTCCTATAGCAAAAGTATTTAAATTACATCCTCTATGATTCAATAATTTTAACTTAAATGATTTAATAGTTTGTACATAATTCAAGAATGTCCAACATATTGCCAGTAATTATCATGTTCTTTGATTGATTCCAAGCCATTCATGATAGAGGTAGAATGACAACATCCGTTTCTTCCTTCTAACATGTATTGCTTTTTACACTGATCAAATTCATTTCAAAATCTTTCCACCTTATCAAGCAAGTATTACAATAATGTATTCCAAGATTCCATTAGAAATAGGACAATATACAAATTAAGTTACATTTTATTTATTAATTATTACCTCTAGGATAAACCCCCAGATGAAAATCCTGATTTCCAATCTGAAACCTCCTGCTGTTAACAGCTAGACCCACGATCTTCCTCTTCTTCATAATATCCTTCAACCTTGTGAAATTCTTAATTTTCCAAACAAACCCTCCCTGATACCAATCAGGTTTATTAGGCATAATAGAATTTTTAACCGCAGGAGTCCTGGTAATCTTAAGGCATCCACTAGATTCCTTAATCGCTTGGAATGACACACTGAACACAGCAGTATCGTCAAGAAGAAAACCGTTGTCCAACCCAATAAACTTCGACATTTTCATATAATTACACCAGCCAATATACGTAGTGTCCTCGAAATTGACGCCTGTGCCAAACCGCCCATGTAAGTCCCTATGAATGCTCTTGGAACCTGATTTATGATTCAACACTGACATTCTAAACATGCACCAACAGCTCCTATATTCAAAACCAGTCAAATTCTCCATCTCTTTACTATCTAAACAAAGATACAAATACTCAACCTTATCGGCCACATACCCATGAACAGAAATCCGAAGATTACATTCCTCCACCGGGAACGAAGGGCTCAATAGCTTATGAGTCTTAATCATTTCCCTAAACAAACCAAAATTCTTTATAGTCCAAGTGAATTGCCCACTACTAACACTTACACTCGAGGATGCCAACTTTGATTCATTGGTATCCGGTACAAACGAGGTTGATTCATTCAAAACTCGAATATCAGCGAGAATGAAGAGAAAATTGTTGGAGATAAACCCTAATTGGGGATCGAGGACCGTTGAAGAGAGAGTGAAGTCAGACCAACCATGAGACTTCCTCTTAGAAGTGAATCGACAGTAGGAATCTCTATGCAGAGACTTGGATTCATCGAGAGAGTTGAGAATAGAGAGTTTGTAGTAAGTGAAACAACCCAATTTGGAAGTGCGAGGAGGGTCGATAAGATGAAGGTAGAGAGAGAGAGAACCAGGTAGAGCATCAGAATGGCCTCTAGGGTACACCACAAGACGACAATCGATACCTGATGTTCCGACTTCCAAGTAAGGACTATACACTGCCTTTGATTTCGTTCTTTCCAAGTTCGGGATCGTCCATTTGCACACCACAGAGTAGTCCGTACGCCGATCCACGGAGACTCGTTCTTCGCCGGACATGGCGGATGAAGACGGCGGTGGTGCTGGGTAGGTGGATTCCGGCGACGCCGATGGTGGCGGCGGCGGTGGTGGTGCTTGAAGTTTACGCCCCATTTCCAAATGTTGTGAATGAATATGAAATGATTTCAAGAGCGAGGATTTGGCTTGGCTTGGCTTGGCTTGGGTTGGATTGGTTTTGTTTTGTTTTCTCTCTCTATACAGATAGATATACTTATACAGACATAAATGCTTTAAGAGAGAGAAACTGGTGGTCGAGCAAGCTGCTTTTTGAATCTCCCGCGATAACAAGTGTCACAGTTTTGCATTCGTAGTTGGATAAATTACACACTGTCTCTAAAATATTAGCCAATTTTCAATTTGACCCTTGCAATTTATTTTATTTTATTTTTTTGTCCAATTTGGTCTGTATGTTCTGTTTGGCAAAGGTTGAAATATTCACATCTATTTTAATTTTTTTTTGTATTTTGTGATTTTTTTTTAGATTTATGTCAAATGCCTTTTTCTTTTAAGTAATTCTATTCTAGAATGATCTATAAAGTTAAAATTAATAAACCCAAAAAAAGCCCCTCCAAGAAAATAATACTTCTTTAATTGGCTTTTTTTAAACACAATTTCTATTTCTATAAAAAAAAAAAAAATGGATCTTCTAATCTAATATAACCTAAAAGTTATTATTATTATTTTTTAAATTAAAACTATTTACTAAAATGAAGAAAATATCAAAAAAATTGTTAAAAAATACTTGTCAAACTATCCCTTAAAGTATGTAATACTCAACTTGACACAATAACCAATGTCTATATAAAATAAAATAAAATAAAAAAATTGACAAAAAAAAATGTCATGTGATGCACCCAGGATTGCATGGTATTTTTATTAATTTGAACTCAAGGGCAATTTACATATGTAGTTCATGTACTTCATTCCTTGCAGCAATTCATTGATTTGGCTATTGAAAATTGTGTTAATAAATTTTTAATTACATATTAATTTGGTTCAATTAATAACTAGCGTTAAATTTCTTGGCAAAAAAATAAAAAATAAAAAAAAATAGTCATGTGTGCCTCATGTAATTTATTTCTAAGCACAAAGTGGAAAATTCACTGCAACTACTCATCTCTCTCTTCTCTGACAATTCACATTTGTCACAAACCATACACTGCCACCTTCTTCCTTCTTCTTTCGCCCCCCGCTCACCATGTTGACACCCTGATCTCTTTCTGGTTTGCAAAATGTCAAACATGCTACTATATTTTGACAAGTAGTATCCATTCAAGACTATGAAGGCAATAATTCATGTTGAAGGATTTGGAATACATTTAGGGCTTGGTTGATTAGACAAATTATAACATAAGATTGAGATTATTAATTCATGAAACTCGCATTTCAATATTTGGTTGTAATTTTTATTTTCTAAATTAGATTCTAATGAACATTCTATGTAACGGAATTGGTGAATTTTTTAATTTTACAACTAATAATACAAAACAAATAGTATCCATTCAAGACTATGAAGGCAATAATTCATGTTGAAGGATTTGGAATGCATTTAGGGCTTGGTTGATTAGACAAATTATAACATAAGATTGAGATTATTAATTTATGAAACTCGCATTTCAATATTTGGTTGTAATCTCAACCTTAGAGATGCTTGAAGTTGTTAGAGTTGTTGCGTTGCTATTTTCGTGCCAAAATTATGGTTTTTTTATTATTCGTTTTGAGGTCCTATTTTCACCTAAAAATAGTTGGAATTTGAAAATGTCTATTTCATACGAAATTGTATCCCTTGGAATTATCTTTCCAAGGTTGCTTGATTCGCCTCAAACCAATGTCAGATGAGAAAGATATACCCAAAATACGAAAATCTATCTGATATGCACCCGTACATCCTTGTATGGCCACACATCATCATGACGGCAGTCGCATGTACACTTTCTTCTTGTGCGACCACACATTCCTAGTATGCTTGCATATTCCTCGTGCAAACGCACATTCCATCGATAGACCCATAATTTTGTTTTGCTTGGGCTGTGTTACGAATTGAGCGGGAGGCACCGCAAGTTAGCAATGCGGGAACCCTAGGGTGACCTTTCTTGACCCCTAAGGCTCCCTATTGCCTATAAAAGCAACCACTACCCCCTCCCTCCCTCCCCCTTTGAAAGGATTCAAACTTTAAGCAATTTTAGTAAGTTTTTGAGTGAAAAACACTTGCCTCCTTTCACCCTAAACCCTAATTCTGAAAATCACACCACTTTACAGCAACTTTAACAACTTAAAGATCGTCTAAGGTTTGAAGAACTTGAACTTAATCATAACCTAAACTTGAGGGAATCTTACAAGCAAGAAAGCTTGGCTTTTCTTCGCATTTTCTTTGGTTATTGCAAACTAGCGAGTGAGTACTCCTTTTTATTTAATTTCAGCACTTATTTAATCATATTTTCAATATGTACTCATAGCTAGGGTGTTAGCATGGTATGACCATCATGTAGTTTAGCTATTTTGTTAGTTTTTCGCTTTGTTTTCACATGTTTTGTTTAGTTTATTAAAATAGCGTGTTTAGGGTAGTTTGATATTCATGTAATCATGCATTGAGCCTAGTTTGATCATCATCTAGTCTTATCATATTTTTCTCTTTTTATTTGTTAGTTCCTTTTTGTGCATAAAAATCATGTTAGTAGCCTCAAAGTGGGCTTAGGTTCATGTTTGTATGATTAGTTGTATATTTAGGATCATATTTATTTTATATAATGTGTTGGATGCATGGTGTGGTATAGACACCCCATTTTGATTGGCTTTGTGACACCCGAATTTTCTTTTTTTTTTAAATTCAAATTTTGCAATAAAAAGAACTCAAAATAATAATAATAATAATAATAATAATAATAATAATAATAATAATAATAATAATAATAATAATAATAATAAATGCATAATTTAGGAAATCGATTAAATTGTTAAGGAAGTAAATTGTGAGACACCACACGTTAAATATTTTAGAAAGTGGTAAGTGATGTTTTATAGTTTGGTAGTGAGATTTTTAGACACGAACCTAACCTATAATCATACGAAATTTTTGAGATCATTGTGGATTACCAAAGAGGGCGACAACTCTTAGAATTATAAGGAGCCAACCCTAATCTTCTAGAGACATTGACTTAGATGACGCCAACCCTAATCTTCTAGAGCCATTGAATTAGATAACGCCAACACTAATCCCTAGATGACCTTTGGTCAATTGGTAAGAGTCAAGGGTCAGGCGGCGCATTCTGAGAACACGAAATTAACTTAAGCTCCAAGAATTGATGCATATAAATAGGGGATGATAGTAGAAGCAAGGAAGGAAATCCATGAAACAAGTCGAAAAAGAAATAACACGGGAGGTTCGGTAGCACGGGAAGAATAGGGATAAGTTTATATTGGAGGTGAGTTTTATTATACCTTGAGTTACTATTATATGTTTTCTACATGTCTTGAGTTACCATAATATATTTTATGAATATTTTGAGTTACCACAATTCATTTTACATAATTTTTGTTTATGGTTAAGTTAATGTTTCAATTACGTGGATTATTTTCTGAACTCTATTTGCGTAAATTAAAACCCATGGACATGTTTGTCTAAATTTTGAAAAGTATTTGACAATGATCTTGTAAACAATTATTTTCTGTAAGTACCACCACGGGAGTCCCATGCCTTGGGAGACTTAAATAACCATTCACCCCTGTTTGGCCACTTTGTGGTCCTCTGTTTGTCATGGATCCATTGACCCCTGTTTTGATTGTCACTCCAGTGACCCCTGTTCTTTTTTGTTCTATACCATAGTTATGATTATTCAGTTTCTGCCACTTAATTAATTTATGTATTCAACTCAAATTATGTTAATGTTTTAGCCTAAATAACTATTCATGGCTATTTTGATGCCCCTATACTCACAGTATAATATTTCTCACTCTGCTATGTGCTTATAGCTGTTACCCCTTTTAGGTGATAAAGTTTAGCAGGATCAAGATATGGAATGAATCACTGTGTTGTTTTTATTTATTTTTAAGATTTCTATCTGTGTTTTTTCGGGACTCTTATAATACAATAAAGCTCAATGGACTATGTTTGTTTCATTTTATTAAACATTTGGTACCCAATTATTTTATTTTAATTTATTTAATTTAACCGCTTGTGCTACGACTGCAAAATTATTTGAATCATTTTATGATTATCTTGTCACGACATCGAGCCTCTGGATACCGGGTTTGGGTTGTGACAGGCTTTATGACTTGGGCGCACTTTTCTGGTTACCCAATGATGAAAACTGAGATGTGCTAATCCTATGAGTTCCTCAGTAGGAAATCTGAGAGTTAAGTCTTAAATCCTAACTTTGCACCTGTTTTGGCCAAAATATTTTTCTGCCAATTGAAAACCTTTTTCAAACTCTGTTTCATTGCGTAGCTCTAGACATTTCCACCATGTCCCGGGGCTCACCTTTTGAAAACTCAAAACATTGTCTTCTTTCAAATAGATTGAGCAAAGGATATATTATGAATGAATGGAAGGGATGGAATCCTCTGAAATACATGTTTCTCCTTTCAAATCATGCTAACCTTACTTTATTAATCCAACGATATATGTTTCATCTGGCCAGTCAACAATTCATGGCCGGATGAAAATACAGTCGACTGGATATATAATGGTACAACTGAATTGTCTGGTAATAAAGTATTTTCGAGAATTTCGATCTTTTCTATGAGGTTTCCACAAATATCTGAGATATAAATAGAGGACGAAACCTCATTTCATTAGGTTAGAAAATTTGCCTAAGGCTTAGAGAGAAGTTTGAGAGCTCCATTACCACACTTCATCTTCAACCTCCACTTTTCATAACTTCAATCATCAAAACTCCATTGAAGCTTCACTCTAAGCTTTTTGTTGAGATCTTAAACACTCTAAGCTATATCCAGTGGACCTTGAGGGTACTAGTAAAGAGTTTGGAACCAAGAAGCTCATCATTTTTAAGAGGTGAAACTTTTGAACTTTTGTATCACTTTCTCTCTCTCGTTCTTCATTTTTAAGCTTTGAATTTCATTGTTTACTTGTTGTAATCATGTGATAAGTCCTCATGGATGTGGTTGGGGATAGAAAGTAATCATTCATCCATTGATTGATAGTTTTCATTACTTTTGAATAGCTTTGCTCTCTTTTCTTGCTTTCTAG